GGCAGAGAAGAGCTGCTTGGGATGAACAACCAAGGTGGGGGTGGGGGGGGAACTGCAGCTCAGAGCCAGGCCTCCCTCCCTTCAATCGACCTCAGCTTTGCGTCTGTGATGTGCAGGCCTCGGAAGTGGGTCCCAAGGACACAGAGACAACTTGGCAGCTGTTATATGCCCTCGAGGGGCAGGTGACATCACCGAGTGCAGGAATAATTCAAGGGGAGAGAGGTGGCATGCCATAAGATAAAGACACCACAATCGATAGCCAATTAGAAATTGTACAGGGAAAATAACTCCAAGGGAACCGATTACAAGGAACTATATGTGACCTCCTCCCTGGGGGATGGACAACAGAAAAGTGGGTGAAGGGAGACGTTGGGCAGGGCAAGATATGACAAAATAATAATTTATCAATTACAAGGGCTCATGAGGGAGGGGGGAGCGGGGAGGGAGGGGAAAAATGAGGATTGAATGCTGGAGGCTTAAGTGGAGAGGAAATGTTTTGAGATTGATGAGGGCAATGAATGTACAAATGTGCTTTACACAATTGATGTATGTATGGATTGTGATAAGAGTTGTATGAGCCCCTAATAAAACGATTAAAAAGAAAGAAAAAGAAAATAATTCCAATAGCCATCTAAGAAACTGTACAGGGACCAAGTGAAGATGCTGGCGAGGCCCTAATGCCACAGAAAGTTCTGCTAGATGGAGACACCGTCTCATTCTTAAGCTGAAAAAACTTGCTATATTGAGAACAAGGGGGGTTGGAGCAGAGACCCCAAACCATCTGTAGACAATGGGACATCCCTCACAGAAGGGTCACAAGGAAGGGATGAGTCAACCCGGGTGCAGTATAGCACCGATGAAACACACAATATTCCTCTGGTTCCTTGAGGCTTCCTCACCCCCCACTATCATGACCCCAGTCCTGCCTTTCCCTGCGGGCTAAACAGGAGCATGTGCACAGGTACAGATAAAAGAGAAGAGCTCACAACACACGGAATCCAGGACAGGAATGGGAGTTATGATGCCAGAAATGTAGTGGAAAGGTGGGGCGAGTAGGGGAGGAAGGGGGAACCGATTGCAGTAAGCAACACATAACCCCCTAACTGCCCACCCCTGGGGATGAACAACAGACACCGTGGGGGAAGGGAGACAGTGGTCGGTGTAAGATGTAAAAAACAATCATTTATCACTTATCAAGGGGTCACAAGGGTAGGGGGGAAGGGAAAAAAGGGCTGACACCAAGGGCTCAAATAGAAAGTAAATGTTTAGAAAATAATGACGGCAACATATGTACAAATATGCTTGATACAATGGATGTATGGATTGTTATAAGGGCTGTAAGAGCCCCCAATAAAATAATCTTTTAATTTAAAAAATTGCTTTAAAGGCATCAGCTCCTCTCCAACTTAACACACAGATTGAATGCAACACCCATCGGAATTCAGATGGGATTTATCATGAATATTTTATAGCATTTAATGCTTTCTCTCTATACTCTATCTGGAAAAAAATACATGTTTGAGAAGTTAGCAAAGATGTTTGGGGTGTGGGGGGAACAGCACAAGGAGCATGTTGGGGGCTAGTGTTATTTAGTACTAAAACCTATTCTACAGCTGTCATGGTCACACTATGTGGGATCACCACGGGAAGGGACAGACTCTTGGAATAGACAAGATCTGGGTGTAGATCCAAGTGTGTCTAGAGAATTTACTTTGTGCAAAGGGTTTGAATTCTCGACCTTGTAATGCTTACTTGACAGGCCACCACCTATGTGGGGTAGATTAAAAGCAATGAACACAAGTCTAGTGCCAGGGTCCCCAGAGTGTTGCCATCCATGATCTCACCTGGCCTTCAAAGGAGCCACACAAGGGTACAAAAACTGAACCCTCAAACTCAATGCCATCGAGTCAATTCTGACTCATGGCAACCCTATAGGATGGGGTAGAGCTGCCCCTTTGGGTTTCTGAGACTATACATGTTTATAGGAGCCTCGTCATTCTCCCTCAGAGCTTCTGGTGGGTTTGATCTGCTGACCTTGTCTCCAGCAGTCCAACCAGTAAACCAGTAAGCCACCAGGGCTCCGACACAAGGGTATATGTATTAAAAAAAAGAAAGAAAAGTTTACTCCCTCTCCATAACATTATACAAATCCATCATAGCAAACGAAAAAGGAAGGAAGGGAGCCCCAAACATGAGCCCACTACACACATAAAAACCAGGATCGGAATGAATAGGACCTTCTGAATTCACATCATATTGTAAGCATTCCAATAGCCTTTGAAAAACAATCTGCAGTGACTGTGTGCTGTTCGATACAAGGAAGACACCACAGTTTATTTAGCTGCTCCCCGATAGTTGACTATTTTTTTTGGCAACTACTGTAAATGATATTTCTTGAAAAACCTGCCTGCTTTTGAACATCTCATTTCTGATTACATGGTTAGGCTAGATTCCTACATGTGGGGATAACAGGTGAAAGGCAGACCATGTCTGGAATCTCGATCCATACACAATTACAAACTGCTTTCCAGAAAGAGGAACCAAGGGATGGAGCCAGTAGCCGGGCCTGCTTCTCAAGGTACCAGCATGGGCATTAGTTTTAGTTTAGCTTTTTTTTAAAAATAACTTTGGCAGTTTGCTAAGCTCCCTCTGTGCCAGGTGTCCCTAGTGTCATCTTCAAAGCGCCCTGGGAGGTGGCACCCATTCTCCAGAACAGAAAGCAGGCTCCCCCAAGTGTCTGGGTCAGCCCTGGACTTCTCTGACTCCAATGTCCAGATCAGAGAGTGTGCGGGCTTTGACCTGGTTGAAGCGCCCCACACGGTCTCCCTCGGCCCCCTTTTCTTTCCCTCTAGTTCTGTCTGGCTTTGGGGGCCACCTCCATTATCTCTCACCGGAGTGAGTCTTCTCCTCCTTGGATTGGATGCTGCCACTTTGGCCTTTCACACACCTCCCTCGTTCACACTTTCCACCAAATCTGAGATTCCGCTTCCAGGCCCACCGCACCTGCAGAATCAAAGTCTCTTCAAATGTGCAGTCCCTCACTGGAGCGGCGTAGCCAGGTAGCCAGGTAAGCACAGGCTTACTTCCGTTACTGTAGCCAACAAAAACATGCGCAATCGTTCACTGCAGATTAGTGCATAAGCACAAGTAAACCCGTGCTTCCCCAATGTACAGGGTGATCCTTCCGTGCTTCCAGCCAATGTCCCCCAGCCCCAGCCCCTGCCCTCACCGCGGGCCCTCCACGCCCTAGCTGGTTAGGTACCTCCCACCCCCCCCACCCCTGGGCTGCGGTAGAGCCCTGGCTTTGCATTGCGGGCGGGCGGCGCGTTGTCACCTGCCTGCAGTGACTGCTGGGCCGCGGGGCTCCGGCCGACGGCGTCGCCCCAGTCCCGGCCGAGCAAGCTGCCAGCCACCGCCGTGCGGAACCCCAACGCGGCCCAGGCCCGGGCTGCCCACCTGGTGCAGCCTGCACACCTTTGAGCCTCCGCAAAGGAAGCAGCATTGCCACTTAGTAACCCAGGATTGTTGGCCTTGTCGTTGCCTACCGGGAGCGAGCAGGGGGGAGCAGGGGCCGGCAACGGGGTCGCCCCTAAAGGGACTCTTGGCTTAGAATGACTTTTTGTTGTTGTTGTTGTTTTACAATTAAACTCAGCATTCCTCCATGCTGGGGGCTTGGTGGAGAGCAAATGCTTTGAGAATGATGAGGGCAATGAATGTACAAATGCGCTTTACACAATGGATGGACGTATGGATTGTGGTAAGTGTATGAGCCCCTAATAAAAGGATTTTAAAAAAAGAAAAAGAAAACAAACTCAGCATTCCTCACCCCCCACCCCCAGCCACATCTAATGGCAGCACGTTAATCGGAGCCCCACTCTTCGGGCGGGATGTGTGCCCCGTGGCCGGTGGACGGCGCGCCCCCCGCCCCGCGCGGGGCTCCAGGCTCGCGGGACAGGCCGGGGGGCGGTCGGTTAGGGACGGGCCTTCCTCGAAGCCGCCCTGCGAGGCTCATCCCGGCGACCCCCAGGCCCGGAGGCCGACGACTCGCGGTGGACCGCCTGCCCGCAGTGCGCCCGGGGCGGCTGCGGCGGTTCGCGGGGCGGGGCCGGCGGCGCCGAGTCCTCCGCTCCAGCAGAGGGCGCTGTGCCGCCCGTGCCGCCGGCGCGCCTTCAGAGCGAACAGGCCCCGGTGTAGCCGCGGGGAGCCGGGGAGCCGCGGGGAGCCCGGGAGCCCGGGAGTCCGGGAGGCGGAGCTGCCTGCTGGGCGCCTCGCAGGCCCGCAGCCT